TACGTATACACTCCAAAGGAGTAAGGGAATTCAACATTCAGTTCCTCATTTGCAACACTATGAGAAGAAAATAAAGTGTCCCTTTTAATCCCTCTTAGTTTTATATGCCCTCAGGGCATCCCCTGAAGTTTTGCTGCTTCAGAGCAAGTGGCTGGTGTCTGAAGATTGACCAGAAAGTAGATTGGGCTGGACTAGCCACCTTTATCATCACCTACTTCCTCTGGAAACCCACACTTGCTACTCCCTAGAATGTTTGCTAAAGCACAAGATACAAATGATTCCCGATATAGCAAGCATGTTTAAGAAGGGAATCACTGCCAATAAAAAATTAAACCAATGTTCAAGAGACCTGAATAACTCCTTTCTAACTTAATGAAAGAGAGCGAGAAACAAGAAGATCAAAGAGCAGATTGGAAGTAGTCCAACTATATTTTTTAGGGCTTGTAAGTATGTGTACTGTTTTGAGTAGTTCCCCTGGGTATCACCCAGGGATTAGTTCCCTCCCTATATCTCAGGGTGGGTGTTTTCTCCTGCTGGTCCTGCCAGTCATAGGAGAAAACCCCTGTCCAGGCACTGGGTCAGCCAAAACCCGCATGTGTACTGTTCTGGATGAGCATGAATTCTGATTCCCTGCTAACCCAGGGATGAGGGTTTTGTAGTCTATACAGGAATGAGAAGCATATTCCTATTTACTGACAGTGATAACAGCCATCCGTAACAGAGGTGAACTGGCAAGACCTGTCCCCTAGCCTCAGACCTGCCCAATAGCATGAGCTGTAGAGCAATTTGAAATTCAAAAAGCCATCCCAAACAGCTGTCTAAAATAAGACAACAGGCTGTCATGTAACTGTTAAACAAGTCAAGGAAGGAATACAAGTAAATTTACCAACAAGTGTAGAAGTAATTCTAAATGCAGCATATGCAAAACAGGAATTCAAGACCCTGTCTGCAAAAACAAAAATGTCCCATCAAAGATACTAAATATGCAAACATCACAATCTTCCCATGCTCATCATTTTAATAAAAAAGACAAAGCATAAGCAACTGACAAACAAAACATGACAATTTTTGATTACTGAAATGAGTCATAATGTAGAATCCCATTGAAATATTTCAAGTTGCATGAAACAAAAGCGTATTCTTATCTACTTCCAAAAATCTCACTGGAACCTCCAAAATGAGATAAAAAATAAAATTTCCAAACTGTTAGATGTAAAATGAGCTGAGTTCATGTCCCCTGGAATTGAAGAATAAATTTTAAGGAATAGTGGAGTTAGTGAGTTAGAAATCTTTACTGACAGATAGCTCCTGAGAGACAAGAGGGGTCCAAAAGGGGATGGCCACTGAGGCCCTTTGTCTGGGGTGATTTACACAGCACAGACACAGTGTGGGTACAACGTGGGTCAAGTTAGAATCAACCTCCAGGATTGCAAGTACAGCTGCTTAGCTAATATTGATCCAATAGGAAAATGAGTTGTGCAACAAGGGTGCATGGAGAGAACAAAGGAATTTTTGGGAAGGATTGGGTCCAGATGCTCTGGTCACCCACTTGGGCTACTGAGGCCTGTCTGAATTTTCTGGACCAGGTGGTGCTAGTTACAGTATAATTTCAGGTTACTGCTTATCCCTTAGTGGGGCATGTAGGCCTGACCATTGCATCTTCATCTTGAGGCCTGGTCTTCTTCAGATGTGCCTCCAGACACAATTCAGATGTCTATTTTCCACTGACTTCCTCAAGAACCCAGGCCCTCTTTGACTATATATTAATTTCTATCTAACTAAGCTGCCTAAAATACAAGAAAACTAATGAAATTTTACATTAAATTGCAAATTCTAGATTATGATGCTTCCTATAGTGGCTCTATCAAAAGCCACTGGAGAAGCAGATAGAGGAAAGCTCAGAAGTATTTAATATTTAACACTGGTAATACAGTCACATAATGGGGCTTTAACTAATGTAGTCCTGTGCCTGTTGAGATATTTTCAAATTATATGCAGACATATATAGCCGTTACTATATTTCCCACTAATAATGAGACACATTCAGTTTTTTAAAAGCTTTTCCAATTTGTTGCTTATGCAATGTAACTTGGGGAAGATCCAAAGGAAAGCTCCTAAACCTGAAGACCTGAGATACTCTGAAGTGTCTTTCTCAGAGTATAAGTTTTGGTTTTCAATAAAATACAACTTACCCATTTTTTTCCTGTCATGGATCATAATTTTAGTATTGTATCTGAAAGTTCATTGCTATACTTAAGGCCAGAATCACATCTGCCTTCTAGTTTCTCAAACTGGAGCTTCCAAGGTAAGACCATCTTAAATCCTGAAACTAGAATTTTTGTAAGAAACAGAAATGCAATCATTGCAGACCAGTGGTCTTCCATTTATTACTTTATAAGCATAATCACATCACCTTTCCATTTTCCCTCGAACATCATGATCTGGGCTGTTCGTGGTTATAATAATGACATCATCCATGTGGTATAACATTAAACAATGTACTTAGAATGTAATTATGAGCCTTACACTCTCATGAACAGTATATATTTTTGCTTTTCTAAATATTTATATATTAGAGGTTTTAGATAATATTTGAAATAATTCACACTGAAATGACTATTTTTCAAGGGATAGAAAGGGAGAGAAGTCATCTTGCCTTCAATAAGAGATTCTAAATATACTGATAAACAGGCTCTTTTCTGCTTGTCTTTTTGAGTAATTTTATGTGCATTTGGGAAGAACAACAGGCTCTCCAAACTGGCAGGTGTTACTAAATTGCTCCAGTCAGAAAAGCTGTGCAATTGGGAAAGGCTCAAGGAAGCACTTATGAAGTTGTCCAAGTGGGAAGAGAAATTGCATGTGACTTTTGTCATTGCTAAGCACAGGGTCATTTCTTTGAGAGAAGGAAAATTCTAGGCTCTACATCCAAAATAAAAATCTCTAGTCATCAAGGATTGGATTTCATTACTCATTTTTCCCTCATGTGCTGTTACATCCTTACTGGCCAGAAAACAGTGTGCAGCATCAGTAAAATTACTGGAAGTGAAGCAGAAAGCATTATATGTATTTCTAGTTATCACAACTGCAAAAAAGGATGTGGAACAAGACACAGCTCAGATCAGGACTTTCTAAATCATTAGCAGAGAGCTTCTTTGAACACCTGGTATTCATGATCTTGCGCATGGATGAGGTGGACCAAATGAAGGGTCCTCAGTCTCTATGGTCTTTTCTTTCCCTTATAAGTGTAGAAGCCACATGACACTGATGGTTTGCATAAAATGGCAGCTTGAAGAGTGAATTGCTGGAACTAAATCTCAGCTACTATGAGCTATTTACCTCCTACCTGAAATAGCATGGTAGCTGTGATATGAGGCTGAAGTTTATACAGTACTGAAAGGCAATTTCAGCATTACAACCAAAAATGAAACAGCTCCTTTGAAATATTTTGGATTAGTTTAGAAAATAGTTCACTATAGAGGAAACTAGCTTAAGTACTATGTTATTTACCTATACATACAACAAATATGCATTGACTCCTCAAAACAGCCCAAGGCTACTAGCACTAGAGTTGTAAGGATGAAAACAATTTGGCTTCTGGCTTTTAGAAGTTCTATTGTTAGTCTAAGAGTTGATATATATAAAAATGAAAATTTGAAAAGATTGACAAATTCTTTTATTTGCAAAATCAGCATTCATTGATTGCTAAATTTAAGCAAAATACAATACTATCTTCCATCCATTACCTTAAAATAATTCTGACCATAACTTTTTCTATTATCTCACATTTTATAAAGGGTATTGCTGAGACTTAAAGAGATTAAATAATTTGTCCAAAGGCACACTGAGAAATGGTAGTGAGCCATGATTTAAATGACATTGTGCATCTGCTAAGGGAAGGTAGAACAGAGCTCTCACCTTCAAGGCTAATCTTAGAGAAGTTAAAAAGCCAATGTGCCCTTTGCCTGAAACTCTCTGAAAATATAAGCTAGAGGTGAAAATCGTGCCTTGCATCTAGCAGAGAGTCCAGGGACCTCATGTAAGAATATTCCTCCATTCTAGCCACACAGGTCATTATTAATTCATTTGTAGCATATGGCTCTCAGCTGTGCTATGTAAATGCTGCCACGTTGCTGACACATGAGTGATTCCCTTCTCTGCACCCTGCTGTGTGATGTTCCTCTTCCTTCCCAAGAGGATGCACTGTTAGAACAACTGCTTCCCACCATGACCATGTTTGTGAGGAGTTTCAGACTGTTCCTCAGATCTCATACCCACCTAATTTGTTTATAAATTGTCCTAGACTAGATGGTGCTGAGTACCAGTGCTGTTTACATGTTCAGAAAAAAAAAAAAAAGGACTCAGGAAAGAGACTAATTTCCCCAGCACTTCTAGAAATTCATTCTTCATTCTCTTGTAACATCTTTAAGCACCTATGCATTCCGGCTAGCTGGGCAGCTAACTGGGAGACTGGTGCGTAGAGATTAGAGATGTAGCCATCTGTCCCCCACCACTGGTAATCTCGTAGGACAGAAATTTGCATTAAGAATCACAGCAGGTGTGTTAATTACTATAAATATGGGGAGCTAAAGGCAAACAAAAGAGAATCAACTAGAACCAGGAGGTGAGGGGTGGCTTCCTGAAGGAACTAACTCGCTCCTTAGCTAGATTATAAAGGACCATGGGGATTCTGATGGGAAAAAGAAAGTAGGGCAGTGGTTCTAGGAAGAGGAAAAACATACATAAAGCCACAGGCATGATAGCACAGCTTGTCTGAGGAGCTGTAAGTAGGTAAAGTTGGCATCACATGATACTGTTAGGGAATGATGAGAGGTTTGCAGAAAATAATTTTGAATAAGGAACTAACTGTTTTCATGAGGATCACAGAGGCAATATCTCTGTTTTGAATTAAAACAGGGATTCTGTGTTTCTGATTTTTTTCAATGTATCCACATTTTCTTTGAGCTTAAAATAATATAATATGAAATAATTTTTTCTCACAGTTTCTGAAGAAGACAAAGGATTTGGACCAATTTTTGAAGAGCAACCAATCAATACCATTTATCCAGAAGAATCACTAGAAGGGAAAGTTTCGCTGAACTGCAGGGCACGAGCCAGCCCTTTCCCCGTTTACAAGTAATGTGTCTCATTGCTCTTTTCAAAACACATCCTTCCTACAAAGACCAGGGATATTGACACAAATGTTGGCGTGTAGGTTGCTGAAAAACATTGCCTAATACCTCAAATACGTAGTAGCTTTTCTTAAATACACATAAATAACTCACTCACTGTTTCCTGCACAGATTATGCTAGTGACGTTTGACATCATTCACTTAAAAATTATCTAATGGAAGTGTTGCTGTTAAGCCTGCTAAGGGTTATATGGAAAACATGCATAATTTAAATATATGGGTTTGAGGATAAATTTTTTTGTATTCATGATCCTGAATAACTCATATCTACAAATGGTAGATAATATTTCTGTATTAGGCATATCTAGAAATCTTACATAGGTAATTCTAGAAAACATTACTTTTTAAAATAATTTCAAAACAACCACACAACCCAATAATTTTTGTTATGTCTTTACCTATTGGACAATCTGCATAAACTTATTTATTTCTCTTTTTCTGGGTTACACATTTATGCTATCAAAAATAATTATATAAAAAGCCACAATGAGTTTTCCTGTTTCAGATAGCTCAAAAAAGTATACTGTTTCTGTTCAGATCCAAATAAGATGGAAAACAACCAAATGCCAATAGATTTGAATTTCAGTTGTAAAATGGTTCCATGAAGACAAAGCAAGTGATTGACAGGGAAATTGGGGACTCTGGTAGGTTAATGTCAACTGGTTTAATTGAAGGTTGTCATTTAACAAGGTTGTTTAATAGTAGAGTTTTTCCTATATAGAAAAATAAATTTCTATTGTTACAAAAAGTTATTATTTAAGACATTATCTCTCCCACCTAATTCTACTTGTACTCCTTTTCTTTTACCTCTAGCTAGAATTACAAAATTATTCTTAAAATAAAATATGAATTTAGACCCAAAATCACTATCCCTCTGTAATTGGTCTTGTTTCAGTTTCATGCATGGAGGTACAATATAAATTGTAAGTAACATATTTGTTCTAAAATATTTGATGGGCTAGATTTATTGCTACCCTTCAACCATATGTAAGGGGAATCTGTGCACATAGTCATGGGCATGCACTAGTGTAGCTGATAGGGCTGCAGAGGTAATTTTGCAAGAGAAACTACATTCTCAATAGATAAACTGTCTTGCTGGAGAGAGTAAATCACAAATCCAGGACTGGAACATGGGTTTTATGATTCCAAAGAAGCATATAACCTTTTCAGTATTTATCAATGCAGATAGATTGTTAGAATCTCAAAAGTCATTTCAGTGATACTTATTCTCTGAGAGTCTGTCCTTGACATTCCTACAAGGAAATTGACCTCCATGCTGGAATGGGGCCACAAACTCAAGGGGCTGTTCTTAGGCAGATTTCCAGAAACATGTCCCAGGCAAGGCTGTGCTTCTTGTTCCCCCCTTCTCACCTGGCAAAGATGCTAAGAAGAAAACTTTGCCTGGCATATGTATCACCAACTCCTTCCTACAGGTTGCCCAGGCACTGAAATCCCCAGGTTGAGATGACCTCATTGTCCACACATTAACCCAGAGAGCTAGAAGGGATGTTGAATCCTGTTATGAAGGCAGCCTGCATTCAGAAAGAGAGAGAGAGAAAAAAGGAAAGTAATTATCTTAGGGTGCAGCTAGTCTGACAGAAAAGAACACTTGAAGTTTTAAAAATGTCCTCAACATTCAGAGCAAGCCACATTAATCTTGGTAATCATGCAGCTTGTCATTCTCACAGTAGTTTTATATTTGTAGCATGTTCTGAGATAATGTGTTATTGATGGCAACATCCTGAGAGAAAAGAGGTACAGGAGTGAGCTTCACCTCCCATTTGCACCCTGAGGCTCCCCTTAGCTTATTCCCATCTGCAAAGCAAAAAAACCCCCAATAAAAACTACTTAAAGCAGGGAGAAAGGGATCACAATATAGTATATGTTTCTGAAAACAGACCAGTGAACTTACCCAAAAGAGAGGATATTAATCATATGATATCACAGGCAAAATCAGATTCATACAAGGAAGTTAAGACAAAAAACAAATTGGGAGCCTGTATAACTGGGGGGGAAAGTCCCAGTAATTGGAGCTACTCAACAAGAAAACCTGCTGCCTTGAAATATGTAAGCAACTGTAGTGGATCTTTCAGGCAGGGACAATAGTGCCACCAACTAAGGAAGAGGACAGGGATATTTATTCACTGGGTTAAAGTAAGTAGTTTTCAAAATGGAAATGCCTTGTTTTCTATGCTTGCTTTTTAAATTACCACCTACATCGTAAAGATTATAACTAAAAAAATTCCAGAAACTTCGATTTAGTTAAATATTCTAAAATTATTAGGCTTTTATAAAAAAAATGTAGTCCTTTTCCTAATCAGTAATGTTCCCAGAAGTAAGTGCTGTGACCATGGACTAGTACTTGAACCTTTTGACCATGGCTCTTATGACTTTCTCAGGATGTGGAGGCTGAAAAGGTAAACCCTGATACGTAATTATTCATGGGGTCATCTTATTTGAAAACTATTTTCCACATGCATTCTTCTCATCTCACCAAGAAAGTTAGATCCCTTTTTCTAGTTGATTTATTAGAATGCAGTGTAGTGGTCTGATTATATGCAACGTGTCTCACCTACATTGTTGTAGAAGAAAATGTGGTAGAAGAAAATCCTTTTACCAAAAATAATCGCTGAATAATTAGAAAAGGCACAACTGGCCCCTAACTCTAGGATGGGGAAAATCTGGCTTTACTAATTTATTTGTGGCTTGGCATTAAAGGACCCAAGAGTTTTATCATTTTCCAATGGTGTGGTCGCCCTCTAGTGGTACAAATATGCCAATTACTAAGCAGAACCCTGATTTCCATTTGCTTCATTGAAAAAAATGACTGCTATTTAGAATTAAATATTGATTTTTTTTAAAAAATTAATCATATTAATGTTATGATTTTAATATCTTATACAACATATATATGTATGAAACTATAACTACATAAATATTTATCAATTAGAACCCATATTTATCCATTAAGAAATCAATTTATGGAGTAAAACTCAACAAACCATTCGTCATTTGGAATGTCTCATTTACAAAGAGGAAAATAGGTCATGTAGCTTCACATTTATCTCTCTGTACCTTAACTAAATTGTACATCATGATCCCAAATATTCAGGATTATAGGACCTGAAAAAAACCGCCCTGAGTCATGAATCATATTCTTAATCATCTGGCATCTGACTTCACATGCAGCTGTACCCAAATCATTTTAAATGACATTCCTGCCAGTACAGTTTCCAGGCCTCCACCTTTGCTATGATATATCTTTTTCTCATAGATGGAGAATGAATAATGGGGATGTTGATTTAACAAGTGATCGTTATAGTATGGTCGGAGGAAATCTTGTTATCAACAACCCTGACAAACAGAAAGATGCTGGAATATACTACTGTTTGGCATCGAATAACTATGGGATGGTCAGAAGTACTGAAGCAACACTGAACTTTGGATGTAAGTAACTGTAACCATAAAAAGGGCAAGTTTGTTTAGGAAAAGTAAAAATTAAAAGATTTTAAATTATTGATAAAAATTTACACAAACTAAAAGGCTAATTCTGTGATGATTTGATTCACTCTTGGTTTGTTTCTTCTATTAAAATCCCACTACTTACTTTTCCCAGTAAAGAGAGCCCCCCTGCCTCACCCTTCTAACAAAAGCACGGAATACTTCTTGTGTGTTTATGGAAAAAGACACAGTTCCTCTCTTCACAAGTGTCAGGTTGCTGACTGATGCAGATCATACATGAGGGGAAGTTTTAAATTAAAATACAGGGATTCGGTTGTGATATCCAAGGTAGATATCACTGAGTGCTATTCTAAGAGCTCAGTAAAAAGAAGAATCTAGAAGGAAGGGTAATTGGAGGAGGACGCTGTAGATGGGGTGGACCTTACAAGATGAGTGGACTGTAAGTGTGCCATAATGAAAACCTTTCAAAAGAACGCCATGCCATGCAGGATAGTTTAAATGCATTTAAAATAGTGAAAGATAATGCTGTAAACTAAATTTTCACCAAGTTTTGAGGGGTCTTGAATGACTCTGAAAACCATCATTTGTAAAAAACTGCTAAACCACATACTTTCAGTGGGAGCACTGCAAAGTGGGTGAAAATTGGTGCTTAGGGCAGGAAGTGTCTCAGACATTACAACATAATGGTTTGTGGTTCTCCACACCTCATTCATACTTCACAGTGTCTTATTCCTCAGTATTTAATATCTCTTAGTGAGAATAAGCCAAATTATTTTTTCATTAATTTATCTTAAATTTAAGTTAAATGAAAATTTTCACCTTGTGAGAGCTAATAATGAAAATAAAATTGATAATTATTGTGCTGAGCTAAAAGTAAGTACATTTTGAGCTGGGGATCTAGCTCAGTGGTGCTGCCACCTGCCTCCCAAGTGCAAAGTCCTGAGTCCGATCCCCCATACAAAAATAGAGTAAGTTCTGAAAGAAAATTACATTTTGTGACAGAAAGTAGACCAGATGATCTCCAGTTTGATTTCATTTTAGCATTGATATCTTTCCCAATATGAATTATTTAAGGTACAAATGATGTTTTAAGAAATCTAATGTGGTAATGATCACCAGGCAAGAGAGGAACAGGGCTAGAAGGAATAATAAAGTTAAATTAGTGTGATGAAATTAATGTCAACAATCTCCACTAACCTTGAGGAAAGGATTCACAGGTTGCATTGCACTAAAGGAAAGAAGGCTGTAAGTATACTTTTCAAGGAAAGTCTTGTTAAATGGAACAAAATTCCATTCTTATTAAAAATGGGTTGGGATCAAGAAAAGCCAATTTCAAGAATGGAAAGACACATTTAAATGGCTGTCACACATTCAGAAGTTACGACAGCAAGAGGTTATCCAGGTTGAAATGTCGTGTAAGGATTGAGGATCGGTAGGATATTCAGATGAAACATCAGGACTAGCAATGTCAGTGCAAAGGGTTCTCTTTAGAAAAAGATAATGACTAAAATAGACATATTTTCAGAGTGGGCAACATATTGAGGGGAATGAAAATTATATATTAAAATTTGGGTGTGGGTCACAGATAAAGAACAAGAAGAAAGTCTTAAAACAGCAAATATCAGTGAAACAAGTGAAGATTTAAATTACTTTGAGATTAAAAAAAAATCAAGCAAAATGGGAATTCCAAATACATAGAAAAGAGTAAAAGTCTTTGGCTTATTCCTGGCCAGAGAATTAGAGTTAGGTTATGTGTGTCTGCTCTCTTGAGGGCAGAAGACCCTGCTGACATCTTGATTCCATGAGGAGGGACCAAGGAAATCAGTTCCTAGAGGAAAGTGAACCTGCTCTTCCCTTGAGGGGCTTTCCTGAGCCAGGTGTTGGTGTTTAGCAGGTTGAACTGACATTCAGTCACTTCCATTGTGTTCTCCAGACTGTAGCAGACAAGGGAGATGTGAGTAGCTATGGAAATAATAAAGGTACTATATACACTTGAAAAATGAGAGAGAGTAAAGGAAATTAGAACTGAGGCAAACCTAGCATTTGAGAAGGAGCAAGAGGTTGGTCCCTTTCATAGTCTCCTTCTGAGGTCCTGCCTTCCACTTGTATTCCTTCCCCGAGTCCTCCCACGGGAAGGAAATATCTTTCAAATGAGTCCACTCTTCTATATTTTCCTCTTTATGGATGATCTGTGTTAGACCTCTGGTTTTGTTGGTTTTGTTTTTGTTTTGTTTTTTGGTACCGGGGATCGAGCTCAGGTTCTTGCGCTTGCGCAGCAGGCGGCAAAACCACTGAGCTAAATCCTCGGTCCCTAGATCTCTGGTTTTATCTGATCCATTATATTTCCCTGAGATTCTCCCTCTGTGTAAAAAACAAAAGTTTGTAGGTGGACAGAACTCTCGTGTAGCCTGCATGTAACACACACACATGGATTTATTACTCACGATGGAACTCTTCAAGAGTAGGTGCCAATCCTGGCGTGTGCGAATGAGCTGGGTTTCATATGTTCACCAAACCAACTGTGAGGTCCATACCTCAAAAGTGAGTGAGTTAGTGAGAAGTTAAAAAGTAGCAATTGTCTCTTTGTATTGACCAGAGAGTGAGTATTTTTCCATTTTCCACCTGCAATTAGATCTGGATCCTTTTCCACCTGAAGAACGTCCTGAAGTCAGAGTGAAAGAAGGGAAAGGGATGGTGCTGCTCTGTGACCCTCCTTACCATTTTCCAGGTAAGCTCAGTTTCTCTGTGAAAATAAGCACCTGTGAAATGAGATGAGCAAGTTTGCATTTTTCCAGTAATAATTATACGTTATTAATTTGCCAAATACTCATGGAACATTATTAATTAAAGGAAACTTTATATTTGTATCACTGAAATATGGCGTGTACTGGTGCTGGTAGATACCTTCTTGGTGGCCGCATGAATCACTTGGTCCTAATCCCAGGGACCTTTTACAATTTCAGTTTATAAATAATATATATGTTGGATTATATCTTTGTTAAATGTCCAAGAAGGCCAGGTGACTGCATAAGAGCAGAGAACAGTAAGAATGCAGTGGGAGGCTGCAGGAGCTATATCACGGAGGACCTTCTATCTTATAGAAACTACTTCAGCTTTGACTTTGAGTGAGATTTGTACTGGAAGGCTTTGAACAGAGGACTCACATGACATGACTCAAATTATAAAATGATGACCCATGGCAGCTTTAAGACAGGACTTAGGGGAGGGCAGAGGTAGAAGCCTGAGACTGGTTCAGAAGTACAGTAATGATCTAGGAGCCTGTGATGGGCCAGATGGGTAGCAGTGGAGGTGGGAAGATAATTACGGATATGGCTATGTTTTAGACTAATAGAATATACTAAATTTTATATTTAACTATATATGAATATATACATGTATATATATATATATATATATATATATTTTAGTCAAGTTCTTGATATATTTTGAAGAAGGGTCCAGGACTTTCTGGTAAACTGTGTGTGAGATAGAAGAGCAATACTGGAGTCAAGGAATAACAGGAGTCAAAAATAGCATCAAAATTTTTGTCACGAGCTCCTAGACGAATGAAACCACCATTACTGAAGCAGAAGGAATATGTTGAAACATCTTAAATGCAGTGTCTATTAAACTTCTAAATAGAAATCAATTTGGTAGTTCTACATGTCTGTGGAGATCAGGGGTGACATCTGAGTGAGAAATATTAATCTATGATTTATTATTATACAAATCGTTTTCAAAGCTTGGGGACTGCATGTGATAACCTAGAAAATTAGAATAGGTAGAGAGGGGGAGGAAGAAGCAGAATCTGAGCTAAGTCTTGATTTCAGTCTTTATGGCACCTTCAATGCTGTGCTGAGTAAAGATTTTCATGGACCAAAACAGGGTTAGTAGAAACTTAAAACCATTAAATCGAGAGAGCCAACTTTTTCCTTGACAATATGTATATATATATATATGAAATATATATATGCTTTATGATATCAGTAAACATATTAATATATGTCATATTTGTGCCATAAATGGTCCTGCCTCTTAATGCTGTTAAAGTAAGGTTTTGTGCTTTGCACTTTGGAACTTCATTGGATCAAGGGTGCAAAGAAATCGGTCACTGGGGTTCTGAATCTCTAAGTATATTACATATCCACCTATTTATCCTTGTCATGTCCTAGAGATCTGGGAACCAGTCCTCCCTATGTCAATTAAACTTAGGATTGTGTATCTTAATTTCCCTATTTAAAATGGGGGGGATAATAACTCTTACATGTTCTTCATACATAGAGTTTATAATAATTTATTAGTGTGTTTGTAAATATTAAATGGGAGAAGTGATTTTAGTGGATTAATATTAAATAAAATATTTCTAAGTATATTCAGTTTTTGAATCCATTATTTACTGCACCTTATTACACTAAAGATATTTGATTCATGGTTATGAAGAATCATTTATATATAAGAAAAAGATACAGAAGGAAACAGCTCATCATTCATAATCCATTACATTTTCCTGTGGACTTGAGTGCTCTGCAGTTTGTTTGTTTGATCTTTTTGGTACTGGGGATCACACTCGGGTCCTTGTGCTTACGGGGCAGGTGGCAGAACCACTGAGCTAAATCCTCAACCCCTGCTCTGCAGTTTTTTAAAGGAGAAGTCTATGATCTGAACTATGCTATTTATTTATCAAGAACACCCACAAATGTGAATTTCAGTACAAGTGTTTATTAGATTTTATAATAGCATTTGATATATAACTGATTGCCCAATATCTAGCATAAAGAAGGGCTCAATGAATTTTGAGGAATGAGGGGATAAGAGAATGAAAGAGTAAATGAATTTATTCACTAAACTGATTGCATGTAGCAGCAAACTTCCATGAATAAGTAAACTTCTTTAGAGTTTTTTGTATTACAATAAACCATAAAGACTTTTAAATTTCTAGACTCCTTAAAATGAGAACACAATGTTTTGTTCTCAGCTAATTTTCCGCCATATTACCATCAAAGAGACATCCTACACCTCATAGATCTTTGTATATTTAATAATAGAATAGAAAAAAGTCATTTCAAAGGTGAACACTATTGACAAAATATAAAATGCTTAATAGTAGACACATGTATGAATATTAAATTGAAAAGAAAGTTCGAATACTCATAAGAAAATACCATCTAGTATGATGAATATTATCAGTAGACCTAAAATATCAACATAAAAATAGATAAGAGTAGGAGATCAGGGTACAGAATATATTAATTCACAATGTATATAAATGGTACATTTCTTTCTAAACATGTTTAATTTATAGTTTACCATATCAAATTACTGATCAGAAGCTATGGTGATTTTATTGGTATAGCTAAATTATGTTCTGTCAAAACTAATTTTTAAAAAGACATGAAAATCTTCTAACAAGTTTGTTTATAAATTATTCCTTCAGGGTACACTAAAGGACTTCAAGTGTATTTCTAGGAGAAAGATACATTATTTAGAAGGGTAGATAAATGATGTAGATACAGTGAACTAACTAAATGCACTGCAGGTGGCTGAAACAAATTTCCCTGTAATGTGTATGGTCCAGACTCTTCTGGGTCAATGTGAAGAAAGCTTTTATATCTATTGATAAAAAACATTTCTTAAACCTGTGCTGGCACTTACTCTTCTTGAAAAATTAATTTTATGGTAATTTACTATTTAATCCAGTCTACAGTGTGAAGAGAAAAACAGATGATAGGTTTTTCAAAATAATTGGTTTATTACCTACAAAGCCCAAGGGAACACAAAGATAATCCTTCAAGAGATCTGAGTTAAGGGTTAGTTTTTAATTGTCAAAATTATCTCATTCTTAAGATAGAGAATCAACCTCTCTAGGATTGGAGCAGTGGTACAGATTTGGTGGTGGTGGGCTGGGGAGGATGGTTAGAACATCAATTCTGACTCTTTATTGCTGTACTATCAGCTCTGGTGAGTCACTCAGTCTAGCAAGGCCTTGGGTCCCTCATTTGAAAATAGAGTTCCCAGGTTTGTTGTAAGGACAGACATGTTCTAACATGTGACAGTTATTACTTTGTCTAAATGAATGATCTTATCATTTGACTAAAACTTGTTAGATACATTATGTTACAAGTCTCATAAAGGTGAAGACTATGTCTATCTGGTTTAATGGCACATTGGAAATACTGAGTTTGTATAAAAAGAAGAAAATAAGAGAATCTATGTTGGACATTCAGTCAATCAGACCATTTTCTTTACAGTCCTAGAATTGTGTCCATACAAACATCATCACAACTTCTCTGACTAGCTTTCATCTTTAAAAGTTCTAGTATCACAACATATTTTTCTTTATACATCCTTTATGATTGGAGAACAGAAAAATTGTCTTAAATTTAAGAGAAATTGATAGAGTGACTAAAGAGCCTAACAGAAGTCATATCTAGAATTAAAATCAGGAAAAGGCCATCTTCTTAAAATTTGCTATAAAATTTGTCTGGACAAAAGGCAATACTCCTTTCTAAATATGATACTTCTTGCCGAATCCCAGGATGCCATCATTTCAGAAATTTAAACAAGTCCCTAAATCTCTTCCTTTTCTAATTCTTCTATGACCTTAAATGAGCACAGTAGTAACAGATTAAAATAATTTAATAATTTGTAAATATAAATGCCTAGAAAGAGATGTGTTAACAATGACTCCGAGTTGGAGGCTGAGTGCGGTGGGGTTTTTTTCCTTGTTTTAACACTGCCCTATTTCCCATTTTTTTCACATGATCATATCCTGCTTTTGTAAAAAAATCAAGATTTAAAACCAAAATAATATCATCTTTAGCATTCTGATGTCATATATTGCTGGAGAATATTATAAAGCTAATCTAAACCTAAATCAAATAGCTGTATTATTCCCAATTATGCAGAATTTATACAGCACACTTTTCATTTTTCATCATCAGTGTTCTTCCACACTCCTCTGGGCAATTTTATCTGTCCTCTTCACTTTCTTAAAGCAAAATGATAGCTTGTCATGATATTTTCATCCTTAAAAAAAGACTGAATGCTATGAAATCTTGACTTTCTACCGTTTTACATAGGAAACTCAATTTAACCTGACCTAGAGAGATTTCTAATTCCTAGTAGCAATTTTTTTCACCTGGTCAAGGTAATTTAAAAGGAAGTATATACTGTCCATAGTTTCGTCTTATATATTTGTACAGTTACTACCAAGGAGTTGTTCCTCAAAACACGGATAGGAAGCTACTATAGGAAAAGCAGCAAATTAAAGTGGAAATTCAAATTTTGCCTCAACTACCTAGTGTGTTCAGCCAAAGGAATTTGTGCATTTAAGAGTAACCATTTGACATATTTCTTATAATTTAAGAAAAACAGTAACATGCTTTTCCATTTCTATGGTTTTTACTTTTTAATATGACCAGAGCAGGTTATATAGACTCATTTCTATAATTTAAAAAAGGAATACAGAGAGGGGGAAAAATCCACATATGATAAATCATCTTGAAGTTATTTATAAAGTGCATGGGGAAGATAGATGGGCTTTGGAATTATGACATCCAAATTCAAACACCTAGTTCTTAGTGTTCTTGAAATGCTAAGCATGTTACTTAACTTAATGGTTGTGAAGCTCTAAGCCAGTTGTTTAACCCGAGTCTCAGGCAATCAATAAAATGCAAGTAAGAATGTTAGTAGTTTATAAACTAAGAGGTACATAAAGAGATATATAACAGATATGTATTGCTTATATTCATGAAAAATACAGTAGCTATTTGAAAATTTATACAAAGTTTGCCTCAGCTTTCTTCCAACATTTTCTCTACCACAATCTTTGTGTGACAGCTGACGATTAGAAAACAGAATCTTTACTTTTGAAGAGCTCAATATTTATTAGACAATATTTTTTTTTAGATGATCTCAGCTACCGCTGGCTTCTAAATGAGTTTCCAGTGTTTATCACAATGGATAAACGAAGATTTGTGTCTCAGACGAATGGAAATCTCTACATTGCAAATGTTGAGGCTTCTGACAAAGGCAATTATTCCTGCTTTGTATCGAGTCCTTCTATTACAAAGAGTGTATTCAGCAAATTCATCCCACTCATTCCAATACCTGAAAGTAAGAATCTTATTTGTTACACTATTTTTACAAGGTTGTCTGCTTTTTGCAAACTTATAGTAATGAGAAGGAATATCCATTGGTAAGGCGTGCCAGTTTCCCAGGCAGAAGAATACAAAGCATATGCACTTGGAGTGGGGCAAAAGAATTAGTCCTTTCTTTGAGTTGAGGCTTTTGAGTTTGGATTACTTGCCTCTGGCATAGGAAACACTTAGAGAAACTGATTCATAAGTCCAGTGCCAGTATGTTGGCTACAGTGGGAATCACTGGCATTTGATTTTTTGTTAAATGCCCATTACTGCTTCTGAAGTTCATGAAGAGAACAAATGATTAGATCAAAACAAACAATAGATATTGCAGAATTGGGGGGGTTGATTATTATGGTCTTTAAAGGATCTATTTACATGATACAGGGAGGTAAATAAATTGCCTTTTCTACTCTGAATAATAAGCATAGGATGCCATCCAAGTGGTTCTTGGTTAGATTGCTCTTTTCCTCCAATCCAAGTAAACTGGCTTCCATTGTAAAAAATCACTGCCAATTAAGAGAATCAGATCACGATATATGTGCCTACCTTACATTAATGTCAGTGATTTCAAATATCTGAAGAAATAGCTTCCGAGTTGACAGATGTATGCTTGGTTCCTACCTCTACTCCTAATTACAGTGTAACAACAGGGAAAATCTCATGCCCCTCAGATTCCTGATTTCTCTCCCTAAGGATGTCACATATTTAGTATTCAATACATATTATGGCCTTTCTGGCTCTTCTCTCCCTTTAGTCTTAAATACTCTCCTTCACAGAGTGAAAAAGGAGACACTGCACAAATTCTCTCATCATCTTTCCTTCCCTCCTCTAGAAGTAGACTTGCATTTTTGTACTTCTATTTATTTTCTTATTTTCTGTCTCAATGGAAGAAATATTCTCTGATTCAAGCTAACTCCACCAGTTGCCCTGGTTCACATCCTATTTGATTCAATTAGAGACTTCACACCATGGTACTTATTACCCTCCTTGTCTGATCTTCAAAGTCTCCTCCATTCTCTGCATATTCTTTTATATTCAGTGCAAACAATCTTGGTAATCAAAACTTCCTATTTATTCAATCCAAAGGACACTTTTCTGTCCTTAACTCTGTTGGTCTTTGACATCACCTTGTCTGCTTCTCGTGAACTTTTCTTTCTTGTAATTTCCTGGACTCCTCACCTCTCTGCTCTGCCAAATTTTATATGGCTTTCTTTACCAGATATTCTTCCTTTTATATTTCTCTTCAGTAATTTTCTGAATATTCTCACTTACTTACACTTTGAATCATAGCCCTACACAGATGACCTTAAATTACATCTTCAAGTCTTTCCTTGTGTTTAGATCTTAATTCCACCTATACCATGGATTTTTCCCACAAAAGGCTGTTAAGAATGTTAATCTCAAAGTGTTCAGAACATATCTATTACCTTCCTATTAAATCTCTTCTTCTGGTGTTCTTAAGTCATTGGGCAATACCATTTTATTTTTTCTGAGCACAAGGCAGACTTTTCATTCATCAATTCCTCTCTTTCCCTGATACTCAAAACAGATAATTCAATAGTTTTGAATTAGCATCTGAGAAGTTTGAGCAAAGTGTGAAATCTAGGCATTCTGATTTCAGCAGCCCTGGAATAGAACGGAGGAATCTGCAAGTTTCTCGAGCATCCCAGGTAGTTCTGATGCTTGGGCCCTCATTCTACACCTTGAGGAACATTGATCTGAAGAGCAGTCATAGTGATTCTGCCTCTAAATATAGTTTGTATTTGTTCTTTCGTCTTCTCTTTGTTACTGTATCTTAGTTTGGGATCTCACCTATCTTGCCTGAATTAATGATACAGCCTTTAGACCTCTGTTGCCTATATTTCTCTTCTCCATGCTCCATCATTTAAAACTGCCAACAGGGCCTCCTACTTAAACCAGAGCTACAATCCATATTACTTTAAAAAAAAAATCAAATCTCATGGGTTTCACCCAATGAGAAAATTAATCTCAAAACTTTTAATAACATGTTTTCAGGCATTCTGCATTGTAAATGCAAGCTGATTTTCAACTGCATATACTTTAATATGATTTGAAGACCTTTTATGGTTGTTTGACAAGTTCTAGAGTTTTGTCATGGTATGCTTTTCCTTCCTCAACCAGAACTGGTTCAGTTCAATTCCATCTTTTCTGAGATTTTCACAGCCTTGCCATCTTATCTTCTTTGGCTGTCACTTTTTCAGTCTACTTTTTAACTTTTTCTTATATATCATATCATTGTGAATTTATTTCTGACTTTGCCATAATACAGTGTAAAGTATATATTCATTATCCTAAACAGTGTATTTGGCCTTTCTGCAGATCTTTCTTATGTGATTGAGGGAATAACACATGTTTCAAAATGAAATGCTAAATAAATGACATAAAATATTTATTGAATGGAGTAGTGTTGCCTGAATAAATCTTTTCCTTTTTTGCCTCTGTGCCTTCCAACTTTTTTCCTATTTGCTTTCGTCTTGTGGGCACCTTTTTCTTCTTTTATCCTTTTTGAAAGCCTGTTTCTTTTTTACACTCCTCTTTCTTTCCATTCTATTCTTCCTCATTTCCTTTGTTTTTCTCTACCTTCCTGAACCTGTATAGCACTGATCAAAATTACTGATACCTTGAATTTTTGTAATGAACTGAGTCAGAATGATTATAAAGTTACCAGAATGAAGTAATTTTATTGCAAACACTTAAAAAAAGTCCATATTCATACATAACATGTATAAGAAAACAAATTTTTATATTGTGGTATGACCAGGACCTGTTTTGGGAAAAGCCTTCTGTATTGAGGTGGTTCTAATCCTACAAAAATCACTGTTAAAAAATATTATTTTAGTTAGTAATTCATGAATATTTATATTTCTTTTAATATCAGGAACAACAAAACCATACCCTGCTGATATTGTAGTTCAATTCAAGGACATCTATGCATTGATGGGCCAAAATGTGACTCTAGAGTGTTTTGCACTTGGAAAGTAAGTATAAATTTCATTACTATATATAGAATCATCAGTTTTTGTACCCTTTTAAGAAATATATGATATGAATGTTTAGCTATAAATACAAGATAGTTGTCTTTTAACTGTTGTGAATCTTTAGCTCTGGTATCTTTCATTTAAAGTCCTGTTCCTGATATCCGATGGCGGAAAGTCCTAGAACCAATGCCAAGCACCGCTGAGATCAGTACCTCTGGGGCTGTCCTGAAGATCTTCAATATTCAGCTAGAAGATGAAGGCCTGTATGAATGTGAGGCTGAGAACATCAGAGGAAAGGATAAACACCAGGCAAGAATTTATGTTCAAGGTAGATATTTTAATTTTCTGTAAATTTGATCAATGTCTTATTCAGAGCCATTTCCTTACTTGTAAAACTACTGTATCATAATCAATATTTTTCAAAAGGTTATATATCTTACAAATATATGCAGAAAGATGTATATTATGCATAAAGATGAAGTATTATCTTATATCTACTTAAGTGACTATCGTAGTCAAGGTTTTGCAAGGGAATATATTTAATACAGGACACATCATTTATAGGATTATTTTATAATAGCTACCCAAAAAAGTCAAATACAGAGAAGTGAAAGAGACTAGCCACATGCTAACTACCCAAAGAATCCAGCCAAGGACGTGGATCCCACAGCAATGTCCCATGCAAGTCCAGCTGAAGGCCTAAAGTCCAAGGCAATGTCCTCTATGAGTCCAGCCAGAGGCCTAGAACCCATGGCAATGTCTCATGCTTGTCCATATTGAGGATCTGCATTCGGAAGGCCCAAAGGGCAGTGGTAGAAGCCAAAAAATCCTGCGCTGGTAGGGTGAAGGATTTGTGCTACCAGGCTGAGGGATCTATACTGGAGCCAGGAAGTGATGCTCTTGGTGATGATCAGAGCTCCCCTGACAAGAACAGCATGCATTCCAAGCTACAGTGAGGCTCCAAGCTCCTCCTCTGATGAGAACAGCCAAGTTAGAATCAGGAAAACCAACTGCAGCAAGCTTCTCCTAGAAAATCAGCAGCCCCCAATATTCACCTCCAGTTCTCTTTTTATACTGTTGGCAAGAATCCTCAGATGAGTCTTCCATGCCCAGACCATGCTGATTCAGTTCACCTGGGTGTTCCAAGTTGACCATTAGTTAATCCACCACAGAGACAACTCTGAGTCATAGAAGTATAAGTTCATACCTTTGGTGTCTTGGTTAATAGCAACAGATTGATAGTCGTGTTCTTGGTAGTGTTCAAAATTTATAATTAGTGTAGCTCATTTACTCCCTTTATTATTCTCTTCTTTCAGTATTCTTTGTAGAAGAATCTGTGCATTATGACTTTGTTTGATTCAGTGGTTTGCAAACACTTTAGCATCAAAAATATCCTTGCAGGCTCATGAAAACAAATTGAAAGACACCACTCTCAGAATTTCTGATTCAGAAGATCCACAGTGGGCTCAGGAATTTATATTTCTACCAAGTGGCCAGAAGATGCTGATATTTCTGGTCTTAGAATGACACTTTGAGAGGCATTGGTGAACAGAATCTTCTTTGACAAAATTATCTTGGCACGAGTTTTTTTTTTTTTACATTTTAAAAATTAGTTTTACTGGTACATTTTAGGTATACAATATAATGACATTCATCATTGGAAATTTGCACCTTTACATAATCTCTCTTGGTTCTTATTTTT